ATTTTCATCATACTACTAAGATGTTACTTAGCTATTTCACTGTGTTCACAGTGAGGGCACAAAAATAATGGTAAATAAAACTGCTGGTCAAGGCAGTAGAATCAAAGTGTACTGGTAGCACTGCATTCTTTTTTTTACAGCTTTATCTATCTCTATATAGAAGCTTAAGCGACCATTATGACTGAACAACCGGTCAACCAGTCACTATGACGTACACTGACCACCACGGGGCAGACGCTCAATGCAGGAGCTGCCCCCTGGTGGTCAGTGTGCTCCCACAGGCAACTTCTCACGGCCGGCCAACCTCCCCCTGTCCCTCCCCGTGGACCTCCCGCGGTCCCTCCCCCAGGCTGGCGGCTAACATCCCACGGTTTCTCCCCCCAGCCGGCTGGCCCTGACCCGCCCTGATCGGGGTAGGCCAGCTAACCTCCCATGGTCCATCCCCCTATCTGGTCCCCCACTCTGACAGGCCGGCCAACCTCCTGCGGTCAGTCCCTCCCCCCAGCTGGCTAGCCAACCTCCTGCAGTCCCTCCCCTCAGCTGGCTGGCCAACCTCCTGCGGTCCCTCCCCCCCAGCTAGCAGACCCCATTCTGCCTGGCTCCAATCGGGACTGGGCGAGACAGCCCTGATGGCCCTGATTGCCAGCCAGGCCGAGGGACCCCACCCATGCACAAATTCGTGCACCAGGCCTCTAGTTGAGATATAATTAATATACAATAAACAACATATATATTAAGTGTACAATTTGGTGAATTTTTACATATATAAGGGTGTCCCAAAATTCACGCAAGATTTGAATTTTGCATGAGCATTAACAACAACAAATAAAAGCCTAATTTTACTTGGTTTATTGAATCAGATTCTAATATCTGTTGCCCTTTGATTTCAATCCCTTCAATTTGATAAGCATTACCAAGTACTAATTATGGCCCAGGAGCAGGGACAATGAAGACCAATGAAGACCACGGCTTTGCGTATGTGCCAGCAAAGCCGTGGAGGCCATTGACCCGATGTGCTATTCCATGCATAACCCTATACGGTATACTTTATGAATCAATAAAAAAAATTACAATTTTTAATTATAAACCTGTGTTTTCTATCAAAATTACTTCTTGCGTGAATTTTGGGACACCCTTTACACACACACACACACACACACACACACACACACACACATATATGAAACCATTACTACAATCAAGATGAGAAACATTTTGATCATGTCCAAAAGTTCCCCAGTGACTCTTTGTAACCCACCTCTCCCTACTCCCTCATTCATAGACAAGTACTAATCTACTTTCTGTCCATTTATTTGTGAGTTCTACAATTTCATACAAATGGAATCAATCATATAGTAAGTACTCCTTTTTCATGCTAACATTAACCCAAAGGCAAATCAAACAAAGTTGACTTCACACAAAGTAGACATCAAAACAAAGAAGAATCTAGGAGAGAGGGTCATTTCATCATGATAAAAGATCAATCCATTAAGAGAAAATAATCATCCTAAATATGCATGAATCTAATAGTTTCAAAATACACAAAACTAAAACTGATCAATCTTAATTGAAAAAGAAACTAATATACAATTACAGTTGGGCAATTTCAACACCTTTCTCTATATAATGGGCAAAACAAGTGCACAGAAAATTAGTAAGGATATAGGAGACTTGAACAATCAACCTACCTTATATTTATAAAACACAACAACAATATACACATTAGTTTCAAGTTCACCTGGAACATTTATCAAGACTGACTATATTCTGGGCCATAAAACTATAAACTTAAAAGGAGTGAAATCATACAAAGTATATTCTTTGATTATACTGGGATTAAATTGGAAATAAGTAACAGAAAGATAGCTAGAAAACCTGCAAATATTTGGAAACTAGACATTATACTTCAGAAGTCTAAGAATAAATCACAAGGAAAATTAGAAAATATTTTGAATAATAGCTGCCTTCCTCCATTTATTCCTTTTTGGAAATTCACCACCAAACTGGGGGACTGCATACCAACAATATTGTAAGCCTTGTTAGGTTTTCGAGTAAGTCTCTTGCTGTAGTGTGGATAGCTGTGATTGGTAAGTCAACTGCCTGTGGCTTCCAGTTACACCAAGATCGTAACAGCATTTTTACCTTTTGTACAACAAAGAAGCTTTGTAAATAACATTTTAACATGTCAAAAAGAAAAGAAAAAGGAAATATTATGAACAGAATGAAAATGATTTTGAAAACTTGTATCCTGAAACCCCTAAACTTGAAAGCTTCCTAATACTTAAGTCTTTCTGATGAGAATGGTAATATTAGCAAGTCACTTTTTTTATGATGATGCATACAGAAATGTGTCAATAGTTGTAGACCTACATAACTCAATAAACCAATATTTTCCAAATGGCCGATGAACGGTATTATAAAAGCTTCATTCTATACAAGAGAGACCAATGGAGTTTATTGTGAGAGTGCAAAGAGTTCAGTGATTATGGGTTCAGACTCTACTGCAACATACAAATCTTTTGAGAAATTACTCCTTGTCAAGTTTGGCAGAGTATTTTTAAAAATCCACAACTATCTAAAAAGGCTGCTAAAAAACTATTTTCAGCTGCATATGCATGAGGTAAGATATTCTTCATATACTTCAAATAAACCAATAAATTACAAAAGACTGAATAAAGAAACAGATAGAAGAATCCAGCTGTCTTCTATTAAAGCAGACATTAAAAAGACTTACAAAAATGTAAAATAATACCACTCCTCTCAGAACTTACAAGTCTGAATATAGTTATTTTCATTGAAATGTTACTTATGTTCACATATGAGTTTATTTAAAATGAATTAATAAATACTTTAAACATTGATCAGTTTTAATGTTTAACTACCTACCATGACAGACAGAAGAATACTTGAAACAATAAGTAATAAGACTAAGTGGCCAAATAAGTTATAGCAGTAAAAGTAAAATGGTAAACAACTTTGGTACCTGATGTAAGAACACTTGGTACTCAGAAAAATCTGAGCTAAAAAATAAAATAATCTCAATAGATTTGGTTTTTCATGGCAGATTTGCCTGTTCGAATCCGGAGACTTAATCACCATAATGTAGCAGACAGAAAACTCATTCAACTAAAAAGATCAGATTTTATAAGGGCTCAATTGGAATTCCAGCACAATGCCAAAAGACTGTTTTTATGTCCACACTTAATGGACTGGACACGTGTATACCCAGTGCTGTTATGCCTGGGCTGAGATAGATAACTGATGGGGTCGGATCAGAGATACATCCAAGGCAGAGTGAGCCTAGACTGAGCATAAATGGAATTCCTTAATTCTGGTTGTAGAGTTCCCACAGAACTGAATGTATTTAGACCCTCTGGAGGCAGTGAAGCAGAGAAGCAGTTAAAGGCTGCAGGGCAGACAGCTCGGGTTACTCTTTTCTTAGTTGTATATTTTCAAAAGCTTTTTCACTTAACCACTTTGTGTCTCATTTTTCTTAAAATAAGGATAATTATTAAATCATAGGGTTACTGTGAGGATTATAAATGTAAAGTACTTAGAAAAGCATCAATTATAAGTACTTGATAAGTATTACTATTACACAACATTTTGCCTGAAATTTAGAGTGAAAAACTACTAATCTAATCTACAGATTGAGTGGGGGATGTAAGAAATAATAATGAAATACTCTAAAAGTTAACTATGATATTTAAAAGGTCCAGGGTTAAACATCCATAAAGCGATCACAACTAAGGTTGTAAGAAAAAAATTACCTCAAAATTATCATTTAAAAATGAGTAAAGAGTAGATTTGGTATAGACTTTGGATTCAGAAAGCATCTACGAAATGTTTTTAAAACTGATGGATTTCTTTCACGGTTATGAGAATAAAAATATATCCTCACCTAACAATTATGAAACAGGTGAGATAATTTTCATTTTTTAAATAAAAAGCAAAAAGTAAGAATTTAAAAATTTAATAAAGAAATCTACAAAGTATTAACAATTGTATCATAGTAATTATGTAAACATCAGCATCTACACCTTGATTCAAAGTGAAAAAACAAAACAAAACGCAGGCTGCATTAAAAACTTCTCACGAGTCCAAGGCCTACAGCCTATGTGAGAGGGAAGTCCAGAGAGGGAGTGGTGGTAATGGGCAGGAGGGGAGGAGAGGGGGGTGAATAGCTGGCAGTGATGGCTAAGACTTCTCTCCACAAAGGATGGGCAGGGTAAAGGACTCTGGAGCCTTGACCTGATTGTGGGCAAGGCAAAGTCATCCTAACAGCTTCCAGGACTACTCCCATTCATGGCCAGGCCTAAGACACCCACCCAGAAATCAGAGCAGGGAGTTTGCAAAATCACTCCACAAAATAAACTGGCAGTCTGCAGCAGAAAACACTTAAAAGAAAAGAGGATATTGTAGCCTGCAAACTCTGCTGTCAATTATGTCAACACATGGCAAAGAACTTCCACATCCTTACTTCTGCAAGTACGCCCACACTTCTGCAGGACTTCTACAACCAAATGCAACAATAAAGTGGGAACCAGCACCTGACCCAGGCCTTAAATCTGCCTAAACCCTCAGAACAGGGAGAGATGGAAGCAGCAGCTTGGAATGCTTCTTCATGTAATCAGCTCTGTACCTCTGTCTCACCAGAATGAATGAAAACTTCTATGTAGGTCAGAGGAAATGAAGTGTTATACATAATCTGTGCTTCTAATACACTCCAAACCAGCTTGGGAGCTGTTTAAAGGCACAGGAGAAAGTGCATAGGAAATCTGATGAGTAGAAAACCAGTGAGAAGGCTGCTCATGTGTGTGTGTGTGTGTGTGCCCAACATTTCGCTTCTCTTGAACAAATCTTTTTGGCTAGAGTGGATAAAATACTCAACACCCACAGTGAACCTCTTTTGAGAGAAAAATGACAGTGAAGAAAAATGGTACCAGGGAATTTCTCAAGAATAAATTATTACAGTGATTAAAAGGAATGTGTTGACTTACCTGGAAAATATCTGTCTTGTCTTCAAATAGACTGACAACATATTTATAGTCAGCATAAGCCCAGAATTTGGAATAATCATAATCTATAAATGGTCCAGAAATACTAGAGTGGTCACAGTTCCAGGTCAGAAACTCTTCAAGTGTAGCTTCTACGTAACTACATGAAGTTTCAAACTGAGGAACTGCAAAGTAAGAGAACCCAACTTTAAATGTATTTGAAACAGTTTCCAAAATTGTTTTTTAAAAAATAATTTCAACCAAAAATGTTAACTATCATTTCAATTAATTAAAAATTAACTTTGCACTTGCTATATACCATTGCTATATAATTAAAATCACTTACAACTTTCACAATGCTATTGTGGTACATATATACAATGGTATATTACTCAGCCATAAGAAAAGATAAAATACTGTCATTTGTGACAACATGGATGAGTTTTGAGAATATCATGTTAAGCAAAATTAGACAGGAAAGTCAGGAACCATATGAATTTAACTCATATCTATAATAATAAAAGCGTAATATACAAATTGACCAAATGACCGAACAGCAGAACAACCATCCAGACAACATTCCCGATGACCATGCTATGACACACACTGGCACCAGGCCAGCCAAGGCAGGTGTGATATGATTGGTCGGGGGGCCCACCATTGCCCCACGATTGCCCCACAGAGGGAGGCCCAGGCCACAAGTCAGCGGGGCAATCAATCGGGTGGCTCCACGATTGCCTCACAAAGGGAGGCCCAGGCCACCTGCTGCAGGGCAATTGATGGGGGGGGGGGGCGCTCTGCGGAACCAGAGAGCCAGGGGGGTGTGGTGGCGGATGCGGGCAGCACCAGGCCAAGGCAGGTGCGGGTTGGGGGCGGGGCTGCGAGGCAGCGGGGTTGCAAGGCAGCTGGGGCTGCAAGGGCCTACCCTTGCACCAATTTCGTGCATTGGGCCTCTAGTATGGGATATAAAACTGGAAGCAACAAATGAACAAATAAAACAAACAAACAAAAACTCAAAGACACAGACAACAGTATGGTGGTTACCAGAGGAAAAGGGAAGTGGAGGGGAGGTATCAAAGGGTAAAGAGGATCAAACATATGGTGATGAAAGAGATTGAACTTTGGGTCATAAATACATAATGTAATATGCAGATATATTATAGAATTGTAACTTGTATAATTTTATTAACCAATGTCACCCCAATAAATTTAATAAAAAAACTTTAAAGACACTATTGAATTAAGCATTCATTTTTAAATAAAATAGTAAAATATTCTAAGATTTTTTTATAAAAAGTCACAGTTTTAACCTTAGAACTAAAAACTACCCTTACTATTGGCTAATTCAGTTGTTAAACAACAAAGCCAAAAGCTCTTCTGAAAGAAAGCTTTTATTAAGATATAAAAAAGAAATCATTAAGTTATTAAAAAATATTAGAATATTTATTTTCAGACCTGGCTGGCATGGCTCAGTGTTTAGCAATGGCCTATGAACCAGGAGGTCACGGTTTGATTCCCAGTCAGGGCACATGCCCAGGTTGGGGGTTCGATCCCAAGTGGGGGGCATGCAGGAAGCAGATCAATGATTCCCTCTCATCACTGATGTTTCTATCTCTCTCTCTGCAATATAAAAGTATTTTTTAAAAATATTTATTTTCAGGATACAGAAGAAATTTCTAAATAAATAGGATTAAAATATTAATGAAATATATGATTTGACTATATAAAAAGGTAAAAATAATGAAGCAAAATCAGACAGCAAATAATAACATAGGAAACACATTATGTATCCTTGTAGAAACTGCATTTCTTTAACATGATCCATTCTCCTTTCTGCCAATCCTCTCTTTTTTAATGCTTAAGTCCTTAGGACATCAGACTCCAGTCAGCATCAACTGTCTTAAGAACGAAGCCTCAAGTCTGTTGACCACAGAAACAGAGCTGTGGTAAAACCAACCACACATCTTGGCCTCAGTTGTGTTTCAGTCCCAGGCCCATAAAGCAGAAGAACCCCACTGACCACACCCTCACAGAGCTAGGCAGAACAACACCATGGCTGACCTCAGGACCTAACACAATGATCAACTACTCCCTACCTTGGCCCCAACCAATCAGGAGAGCCTACAACCCCAACGCCCAAAATCACCATGATTACTAATTTTCCCCATTCGTAATCTGTCCCTGTGTCCCTCCTGGAGCCAGGTTTTAGAGCACTAGCTTACCTGTGACTCTGGGCTTGTGCCATTTCCTTAAATAAATCTTTACTTTCTTTGCTGTAAACTCTCGGTCACATCTTATTGGGCTTTGATGGGTGCTGGCAAATGGACCCCTTTAGTCTGGTAAGATCAGTAACAAATACAGTATTCTTAATATGTAAGGCTAAAAAAAGAAAAAAAAGAAAAAAAAAATATTTATTTTCAGGATACAGAAGAAATTTCTAAATAAATAGGATTAAAATATTAATGAAATATATGATTTGACTATATAAAAAGGTAAAAATAATGAAGCAAAATCAGACAGCAAATAATAACATAGGAAACACATTATGTATCCTTGTAGAAACTGCATTTCTTTAACATGATCCATTCTCCTTTCTGCCAATCCTCTCTTTTTTAATGCTTAAGTCCTTAGGACATCAGACTCCAGTCAGCATCAACTGTCTTAAGAACGAAGCCTCAAGTCTGTTGACCACAGAAACAGAGCTGTGGTAAAACCAACCACACATCTTGGCCTCAGTTGTGTTTCAGTCCCAGGCCCATAAAGCAGAAGAACCCCACTGACCACACCCTCACAGAGCTAGGCAGAACAACACCATGGCTGACCTCAGGACCTAACACAATGATCAACTACTCCCTACCTTGGCCCCAACCAATCAGGAGAGCCTACAACCCCAACGCCCAAAATCACCATGATTACTAATTTTCCCCATTCGTAATCTGTCCCTGTGTCCCTCCTGGAGCCAGGTTTTAGAGCACTAGCTTACCTGTGACTCTGGGCTTGTGCCATTTCCTTAAATAAATCTTTACTTTCTTTGCTGTAAACTCTCGGTCACATCTTATTGGGCTTTGATGGGTGCTGGCAAATGGACCCCTTTAGTCTGGTAAGATCAGTAACAAATACAGTATTCTTAATATGTAAGGCACTTATTAAAAAAAACCCCGCACACCTCAAAAACCTGAAAGCCTAATAATGAATAGTCAGAGAACAATTACCAGAAAGAAAATACAAACTGCCACTAAACATGAACACATGTTCAACACCACCAGCAACCAAAGAAATGTTAATTAAACTCATGAGATGTTACTTTTCACCTATCAGCAAGATTGTTTTCATTTCTTTTTAACTAAATTTATTGGAGTGACACTGGTTAATAAAATTATATAGGTTTCAGCCTGCCCGGCATGGCTCAGTGGTTGAGCGTCGACCTATGAACCAGGTCAGGGTTTGATTCCGGCCCGGGGCCTATGCCCGGGTTGTGGGCTCAATCCCCAGTAGGGGGTGTGCAGGAGGCAGCTGATCAATGATTCCTTCTCGTCACTGATGTTTCTATCTCTCTTTCTCCCTCTCCCTTCCTCTCTGAAATTTATCTATCTATCTATCTATCTATCTATCTATCTATCTATCTATCTTAAAAACAATTATGTAGGTTTCAGGATACAGTCTATAATACATCATCTGTATGTTGTATTGTGTGTTCACCATCCCAAGCAAGATTATTTTTTGAAAAGTGCTGTCTGCAAAGAGCTGGGCCATAGTATCAGAGGTCTTTCATTCTTTCACCCCACACATATCTGAATGTCCATTAGGAGCTCAGTCCACGATGAGAAAGTGAACTTCTTCATGGGAAAAGAGACTCTGAACAGTTCATTACTGACATAACTAATCAGTTATTATAACTATGTTAAATGTTACTAAGAAATAGTAGGTGCTCTGAGATAAGTTAAGAGTCACACATTTGGGGGTAGGAGAGGGAGATGTGGTCAGGAAAGACTTCCAGGAGAAAATGCTATTTGAGCTAATATCTGAAGGAAGATTTGAAGGAAGAAGAGAAATTAACTAGGTAAAGGTGGAGTAAGGGGAAAGAGGAACAGAGAGAAGCATGGCTAGACTACAGACGCAAAGGCCCTGAGGTAAGAAACAAACCTCTGGAAATACAAAAAAATGCAGAAATACTTGTTTGGCTTGAGCTCAGGAAGAGGGATTAAGCTGATGAGACAAAAACAGCTTTCTACACCAAAACAAAATTTTGACCTTTAGCTTAAAGATAATGAGAAGCCATTTAAGGGTTTAAGCAGAGAAATAAGATGAGTTTAAAAAACAAAAACTGTCTCTGGTTTCAGTATAAGAATAGCCTAGGTAGGGAGCGCAGGAGGTGCAATGGGACTATAGATGAGGCTAGTGGGATGAGAGAAAGCAGGGTAACCCCAACTAGAAGATGGCCATGGAGAAAGAGAGAAGCAGGTTGCTACTAGATATTTAGGACACCACTTAAGAGAGGCATTCCCGAATGACTCAGAGGGTTCGTGTTAAGAAGCTTCATGAATATTGCTGCCACTGATGATAATGGTCATATCCCTTGATCTAGTCATGATACTTTTAGAAATCTATTCTAGAGAAATAATCACAAACTTGAACAAGATTTATTTTCAAAGTTGTTTACTACAGTCCTATTTAAAAATTTAAAACTTCAAAGCAATCTATATATCAAAATAAGAGAATTTAAAAAATACATTATGATACTATCATACAATGGAATATTAGGTAGCCATTTAAAAATCACATTTAATGTTAAGAGAAACTGCTCAGAATAAGTTAAAAAAAAACAACAAAGCAGGCTATGAACATTAATACATTATTTTTAAAAGACAAAAAGGCCTATATGGACATATGGACACTTTGGTGATAGGACCAAGTGCTTTTTAATTTCTCTGGATCTTCCCATTTTTTTCAATATTCTCTACAATAAGCAATATTCTCTACAATGTTATTTTTAAAATAACATTTATTGAGCATTTACTATGTGTTAGGCACTGTTCTAAATGTTTTATGTGCATGAACACATTTAATCTATTACAGAGAAGTTAAGTTACTTACCCAAAGTCACACAGTAAGCCAAAATTTGAATCCATGCAAGCTGACTCTTGAGTCAGCTCTCTTATTGCTTGTGGCAGAATTGCATTTATACTCAAAGAATAACTTCAAGATTTAGTATCCAGAATATATAAAGAACTCTTTGACAACTCAACAACAAAAGACAAAAAAACAAAAACAAAACCAAACCAAACCACCCAAAAGCAAAAAATATCTCAATTAGAAAATAGGCAAAGCATCTGAATAGACATTTCTCCAAAAAAGATATCCAAGTGGTCAATAAGCATATGAAAAGATGCTTGACATCATTAGTCAAGGGAAATGTGTATCAAGAGCATAATGAGATAACAATTCACACCCACTAGAATGGCCAGAATAAAAAATGGAGTAAGTGTTGGCAAGGACAGAGAAATCGGACACTCATACATTGGGGTGGGAATTTAAGATGGTTCAGCTGCTTTGGAAAACAGTTTGGCAGTTTCTCAAAAGGTTTAATACAGAGTTACTTTATGACTTGGCAATTCTACTTCTAGGTATAAACCCAAGAGAAATGAAAACATATGTCCACACAAAAACTTGTACATAAATGTTCATAGCAGCCTAATTTATGATAGCCAAACAGTGGAAACAACCCAAATGGCCAGAAACTGATTAATGGATAAACAAAATGTGATATATACACATAATGGAATATTATCTGTAAATATAAAAGCCTAATATGCAAATTGTCCCTGTAGAAGTTCAACCGGGAGACTGATCACTCGCTATGATGTGCACTGACCACCAGGGGGCAACGTGGAACGAAGGAAGGCCCCGGCTGGCAGCTGGAAGGCCCTGATCGGCCCTGATCGCTGGCCAGGCCTAGGGACCCTACCCGTGCACGAATTTCGTGCATTGGGCCTCTAGTTCATTAATAAAAATAAATGAAGTACAGATACATGCTACGACATGGATGAATCTTGAAAACATGCTATGTGAGTGAAAGAAACTAGCACAGAAAGCCACAATATTGTATGATTACATTTATATGATGTGCCCAGAATAGTCAAATCAATAAAAACAGAAAGTAGATTAGTGGTTGCCAGGGACTGGCAGTGAGGTAGAACAGAGGGTGACTGCTGAAGGGGTACTGGACTTCTTTATGGAGCGAAGAAAATGTTCTAGAATTAGATAGTGATGATGTTGCCCAACATGGTGAATATGCTAAAACCACTGTATATTTAAATGGTCAACTTTTCATTATGTGAATTTTATCTTAATTTTTAAAAAGAACAAAATATCTTTAGTAAAAACTCAGAGGAGTTGTTACAACCACAAAGACTTTCTACTTTCTCTTATGCTTAAGTATCAACTTGAAAATGTCAAATTACTGTGATTCATCTATAAGTCTGAAGAAGATTAAGAGTTAATACCCATAGAGCACTTAGACCAGTGACTGACACAATAGCTCTCAATAACTGTTAGCTATTAGTAGTAGTATTGTATTTGGAGTCTAACCAGGATGGGGAAAAAATTACATCCTATTTCTCTCCAAATTATTGAGTGGAAGATTTATTTGACTACAATCAAGAAGGAAAAAGCACAAGCTGATTTTTATGTGGCTGCCACTGGTCTAGCATTTAATTTTAAAAATATAGTAAAAACATTTCGGTCTGTCATGGGATTACAAGGAGACTCTAGACCAGGGGTGGGCAAACTTTTTAACTCGAGGGCCACAATGGATTCTTAAACTGGACCGGAGGGCCGGAACAAAAGCATGGATGGAGTGTTTGTGTGAACTAATATAAATTCAAAGTAAACATCATTACATAAAAGGGTACGGT